GGTCAGAGCCTAGCATGGGCGTGCTAGATAGAAGCACGGGCGTGCTTGTTGTGGTTTGGTCTGAACTTGAGAGTCATAGCCTAGCACGGGCGTGCTAAGGTTGAAGCATGGGTGTGCTAGTTGGTTTTGGTCTGAAATTGAGGTTTAGAGCCTAGCACGGGCGTGCCAAAGGTGGAGCACGGGCGTGATGACTTGTATCCTCACTTAACCTACAAATGTGACCCAAATTAGGTAGGGTAAGGCCTTTACAAGGGATAATTGTATGGTTTGTGTCCTAAACAGTCCCACAAAGTGTTTAATAGGTATAACTCTTTAATAATAGAAGTAATCAATTCCTCTTTTTTTTAATGAGTAGGCAAACCTAAGGTATTTCCTTTTTTTTTTCTTTTCCTTTTCTGTTTTTTTTTTTAATTGGGCAACCGTATAGTCTCTAATATTCAGGTTCTTTGTTTTTTTTTTTTTTTAATCAAGAACACAAAGCAAACTCAAAAGAAGAAAGCAAGATGAAAACCCAGATTTGGAATTAAAAGGATAAATGTACACTAATGAAAAACTCGAATTCCTAAAACTAATATAATAGAACTTACCTCAAAACTTTGATTAGGCTCTGATACCATATGATGCAGAACTTGTAGGAAACAATTCCTAGAACCCCTAATCGAGTGGATCAGATCAAAGATTGAGATGAAATTCGCCTCTATGGCACCCCTCGCTTATAAGGAAACGGGAACACCAATAATCAAAGAATTAAGAACCAGATAAATGCCACAAACGAGTTGATAAGTCTATCTAGAATTCTTGATGCAATTAGAGGAAGCAATCTCTCACTATCACTCTAAGCAAGGAAACAAGCAATTTAGGACAAGAATCAGAAACTTACCTTCAAGTACTCTTGAAAACAACTCTGAAATTCTTGGTGCAATTAATCTTGTAGAACTCACAAGCTTAACTACTAAGGATATTTTGGTTCTATGAAGAACACAATCTATTTTTGAAGAACAAGAAGAAAACGGTTTGTTTTTTTCAATTCAATCGGGCTGTTGTGCACTCTTACAACAAATATTAAGTAACCTAAGCTAAACCCTAATGGGGCCCAAATGTTAATAAATGACAAGTCCAAGCTAACTACTTTTATATATCTTGACTTAACACTTAACTAACTTAGGCATTAACTAATCTTGGGCTGGCCCAACTCTGGAAAATAAACCCAACCAGCCTTACACTAATTAATTAAGTCCACTAAAAGAATTTAAACAAAATAGGACACATGGGCCAGAAGCCCTACACAGCCCATACTTAAGCTCATAATAAAATAACATCCTCCTAAATTTGCCTAAGTATAGAATCATGTAGAATGCATCAACGAGCAGCCTCTTTGCACGCCTCAAGCATCATAACAAGCTTTGGTGCTTCTTCAAGTTCAATCTCACATCTTGCATAATTATGATCTTGAAGCTCCAATGTGATTGCAAATTGCATTCAAGGCAAGGCTGTTCGTAGCTTGGTTGCACGAGCTCTTGTGATTGGCCCCACGGGTAGAGCTAGAGGATCCTTCACCTTGCTTCCTTGATCCGTATCACTTACTGCTTTGGCCAGGTGAGGAATAATAATTTCTCCATTGTCCTTGAGAGCATCGTAAGCCATGTCATTGACTGTATTATATAGAGCAAGGAAACTTAACTTCATATAATATGGAAGATCTTTCATAGCATTGACATCCCATCTAAAGAAATAATTCAATATTTGTATCTGATTAGTATAATTTAATTAATGCTGTTCTTTTTATCAGGAAAAAGATTTAATTTTAATAAAGATGAATTTGGAATAAATTTGGCTAATCCAACGGTGCCCTTAATCCAAGCCGATGTGCCTCCTTTTTTTCGATCATAAAATAGAAAGCCAAGCAATAAGTTATTGAAATGTGAATTTAATCATAACCCTACACTTTCAGCAATAATTATACCACTCGCCAAAATAAAATATCTTTATAGGATTTAATCATAAACCTATACTATCACATCTCATTTTAACGAGGGATATAGTTATTATTGAAATGTAAAAATGCACAGTCATGATGGGTTCCCGCAAAGTTCAAAAGGGACGACAAAGATAATCGCCTAAAGTACAAGTTCAAATTTATACATTAAGTCATCTAACAATATATGATATATTAGAAATGGTAGGTAGACAAACGTCTCAATAGCTTCTGTAAATAGCTGCAATTCATCCAAAGTGCCGTAAATATCATACACATCATCAATGGTGGTAATGAATGAAGTCACTGTTGTTAATCCTTTACGACATCTGCTAAATTTTGTGGCTCAAACACCATTCCAACGGTCCAAAAGAAGCACTCCATGACTCTGTCTCTACAAAACCTCAAAATTTTTGCTAGTTCCAAATTTTTGCTAGTTCCAAATTGTTACAGACAGAAAACCTCAATATATAGATTTAATGCCTTAGCTAATGTATTATCTCAAGTTCAGTTTATCATATAAAGAGGGGAAGAAACTCATTTGCAGATTCCTTAGTAAGAAAAAGGATAACAGCTACAATATTTTTTTTTGCATAGTTATAAAAATTGCATCTGATATACTTCTAGTTTTTTTGTTTTATATTTTTTGTTTGTCTGTAATTTCTTTTCTCTTGGATTATCTATTGGGTGTGAGTTTAGGTTTTTACTCAACTTTCCAGGATAGGATGGGGTATATTGGGGAAAGCCGGATAGTGTAGTAACTTGGTTGGTTGAGTTTTTTTTGAAATAAATAAAATGTATGGAACAATAATTTTCATATTTTTCAACTATCTAATAAGTGTTAGTATTCAATATAATGATTTTTTGCAAATTGAAGTATTTAATTGAAACAATTTTTTAAATTGAAGTGTTCAATAGGTCAAAGTCAATGTTAGAGGTACTACACGATTTTTTACGTAAAGTACATGGATCAATTTATGGATTGAGCCTGCACAAATCTATACTATATATAAATACGAGAATCTGAAGAATAAGGGATCACTTATAATAACCTTAATAAAAGTTTAGAAATTCTAAAATATCCTTAGTTATTGGATAATTGATAATAGTTTGAATTTTTAATAATTGATAAATTATAATTATAAAATTAGAGTTTTTTTTTTAATACTTTTTTATAAAATCGATAAAAGATATTATTATTTTATTTTAATTATATATTACTAATTAAATTTTCAATCCATTGATATTTATTGATATTAATTGTTTCAAAAATATTACTATTATTTTTAAATTTTAAAATAAATTTTTAAATGAAAAAAAATATGAAAATATCTACAAAAAAAACATTATAATATAATACACTATAATATAATATAATATCAACTTTTAATTTTGAATAAACAATACAGATGTATAGCTCTAAAAATAAAATTAATAATGTTTTAGGGTTATTAGTTTTTTTTTTTTTTACTTAGGATTTATTGTTCATTTAAAATTTTTTGTTTTAAAATTTCATCTAATAAATTTTAGTAAATATTTATTAGTTCATCTAATCTATTCTATCTTATTTATTTATTTTAACTTATCCAAAAAATATGTATTTAATTTATGTAAAAATATGTATTTAATTGTAATATAAATAAATAATAATATATTACAATTACTTAATATAAGTGTATGTGTGTTTATTATTATGTTATTCCTCTTTTAATCGTATAAAAATGAATGCAATGCTAAAATCCAATTCATCAATAGTTGATTGTTTCTATTCAAATGCTTTTATGCTTTTTTTTTTAAAAAAAAAGAAATCGAATAATTAAGTCTAACCTTATCATTTTAAAACAAATAAAGTCTAATTTTATAATTAATAATATTTTTTCATTTTATCATCTATAATGATTTTAGTAAATATACTTGGCTTCTAATATTGTCATATCATATTAAAACTAATTTAAAAAAATATTATTCGCTTATACTAAGAATTAATATTTAAAAAAATCAAAAATCATATTGCATATTCCATTTCATTTGATTCGATTTAGAATTAATTTTATTTTAGTTTATAATAGAAAACATTTTTTTCCTCAACTTTTAGAATTCTAAATTATGTTTCGGTATAAATAATTTCAAAAATTTTATGATATTATATTGAATTCTCATATTTCAAAATTATCATATTGAGTACAAAAATTCATTTTAACTGAATTCTACATTTTAATTTTATTTATATGAAATAAGATTTAAAATGGCTTAATGAGAAGGAAAATTACTTATTAGTCTCCGAGATTTTAAAAAAAATTAACTACATTGTCCCTATAGTTTGATTAAATAATTTATTTTGTCCTTAACCTTTGCCTCCATAAAACAATATTCTTCTATCAAATTATTAGATGAGGGAGTCAATAAAAAAAGAGAAACTTTATTATTTTCTTGATGGTTTGTTAGATTACTATCAGTTTGCTATTCACCTGTTCTTTCAGAGTTGAATAGTTAGATATGGTTTTGACAGGTCGCTTGGGTTGGGATTCCAACTGCACCAGCTTGGCTTCCAACAGATATGCTTATCAAGGTATTGCTGTTAAAAGCCTTATCCTTTGTTATATTGTCTAAAAATTTGTTTCCAATTAATTACTTTTAATTGGGCAGTCGGAGAAGCTGATATTACCAGAGACAGAGATTATAAGCTTCAAGTTCACAGAGTCTCAAAGTTGCTTGATTTAGCATTAGCATTAACTGCTTAGATATGTACAATGTTATCTGCTTAATCGTTCTATGAGTTTTCTCTGTATATGTTCCTTTAGATAAACTTTTCACTGTGCTGAAAGGAAAACTCCTTGATGCTTAGTGAGATAACAATTGGAAGGAAAGAAGCGAAAATGGATAGAGACAGAAAGGAAACAATCTCAAGGAAACTAAAATGTCCCATTTTGATGGATATGTGATGTCGAAATATATCCTGTGGTGAAAGGACGATTTGTGTTCTGTTAGAAGATATAATCAACGGAAAACATAGATTAAAATACTATTTGGTTAGCAAAAAACAGAGAGTAAATATTCCACAGTGGATGTAGAATTGTATTATATGCATATCAAATGGGGCAAATGCAAATAGATAATAATACATACAAATTGAATTGCAGAAAACAGAACCTCTTGCGACAGTATAATAATTGTTCTATTCTGAAATCTCACTTCAAGTTTACATCTTGAGAACGTTTAGAGTAGTTTAGCAGCTTTTGTACAAGCGGGTCATCAGGCTTGTTCATAACTAAATTTATTACCAACTCTGTGGTGGTGGCATCTGCAGAAAAACCCTTGCCAACCATTTGCAGAAAAACCCTTGCCAACCATTTCATCAATAAGTTGTGTTGCCATGGATGAATCGTTGTGCCGGAGATATCCTTGGATAATCACGTTATAAGAGCAACTATCTGGGAAGCAACCATCCCCTTCCATTTTCCTGAACAGCTTGAATGCTTCATCTAGTAATCCTTCTTTACAAAGTCCATTGATCATTGTACTGTATGTGTAAACGTCAGGGCGCAAGCCTTCTATGGAAAGTCTAGAAACCAGTTCCTTCGCATCTTTAATTTTTCCAGCTTTGAACATACCATCAATTAGGATATTATAGACAATAATATCAGGCTTCAATGAGTTTTTCTGCATTTCATGAAATAGGGACAACGCCACATCTAGACTCTGATGCTTACAGAAGCCATCTATCAAAATATTGTAGGTTACCACATCTGGAGAATGGCCACTAGCACACAAGTCCTTGAAAAACTTATATGCAGCCTGAGGGCTCTTTGTGTTAGACAAGCCATGTATAAGAGAATTATAAGTGACATGGTCAGGAATCAATCCTTTGCGTGGCATTTCATCAAGAAGCCTCATTGCCTCATCTATCCTTTTTCTCCTACAGTAACAGTCAATCATGATACTGTAGGTAACAACATCAGGTGTACAACCCTTGCTTAGCATCATGCCAAAAATTTCCCTAGCTTGATCCATTTTGTTGAGTAGACAATATCCATTTATCAAAGAGTTGTAAGTCACAACATTAGGCTTTATTCCTCTTTGAATCATGCATTTGACTATACCATGAGCCTTTGCAACCCTTCCTTCCTTACAAATTCCTTTACAAAGCCCCATCGACCAATATGTTGAAGGCTACATTAAATTTGGTGTGATGATCACTTCCAACATTTCATTAGCTGCATAGAAGCTTCTTCCCATCGCTGAATTCACAGAACCATAGATTAAAGAAGCTGTAAGTCACAACCATCAGGCTTCATTCCTCTCTGAATCATCCATTTGACTATACCATGAGCCTTTGCAACCCTTCCTTCCTTACAAAGTCCATCGACCAATATGTTGAAGGTAATTATATTTGGTGCGATGTTCGCTTCCAACATTTCATTGAGCTGCATAGAAGATTCGTCCCATCGGCCTGAATTGCACAGACCATAGATTAAAGAGGTATAAGTCACAACATCAGGCTTCATTCCTCTCTGAATCATCAATTTGACAATACCACAAGCCTTTGCAACCCTTCCTTCCTTACAAAGCCCATCGACCAATATATTTAAGGTAATTAAATCTGGAGTGATATTTGCTTCTGACATTTCATTGAGCTGCATAAAAGATTCTTTCCATCGGCCTGAATTGCACAGACCATAGATTAAAGAGTTGTAAGTCACAAGATCAGGCTTTATTCCTCTTTGAATCATCCATTTGACTATACCATGAGCCTTTGCAGCCCTTCCTTCCTTACAAAGACCATCAACCAATATAGTGAATGTAATTAGATCTGGCATGATGTTGGCTTTCAACATTTTGTTAAGCAGCAAAAAAGCTTCCTTCAATCGGCTTGACGTACACAGACCATTGATTAAAGAGTTGTAAGTCACAATGCTCGGAGAGATACCTTCACTCTTCATTTTCAAGAAGAGCTCCAATGCCTCAGTAACCAATCTATCCTTACAACAGTTAACCAATCTAATCCTTACCAAAGGCTGTCAATGATAGGCAGTTATATGACACCAATCAGGCTCACAACCTGTCCTCGACCATTCTTTTCAGATACAAAGGCAACATTGGTTTTCCTAATTTAACACGAGGCGTTGACCAATCACGTTATAGGTATAGACAATATAGGTATAGACATCAGGTTGATAGCCTTTTGCAACCATCTCATCAAATAATTCCACAGCTTCATCAAATCTATCCTCACTACAAAGCCCGTTAATCAAGGTATTAAGCGTTATAATGGTAGGCTGAAAACCAAGTTTCAAGATTTTCCCCAAAAGAGAGAACCCAAAATCCACGCGGTCCAGATGGCAAAAGCAATTAGTCAAAATATTTATGCAATAAATATCGAGTGAAATTCCAAACAATTCCATCTGTTTGTAAAGAGAAATTACAGTCTCATAACGTTTCATTCGAACAAGTGCAGATAATGATTTATTAAATTCGACAATAGATGGTGAGGGATTACTATGAAGCATCAACTGGAAAGAAGCCAAAGCATCATCAATGTTATCGAATGAATAAGATTTGCTTTTACCTCTCGCTTGTGTATTGGTAGAAGTACTATAAGAAACGGAATCAAAAAAACCCATTAGCCGATGAAGCCGAAAATTAGAAAGGCATCTGCTGGTAGTTGAGAGCATCTTGGATAATATTATGAAAATAAAGCGAAAGACCCAATCTTGTATAGAGTTTTTGAGAGAAATTTGATAATGGCGAGAAGGGATTTGGTCTGATTTAGTGTCCCCCGTTGATGTCTAGCGGAAGAGAGAAGATAAGCTACGGGCTTTTGTGGAGGGCTGACATGAGCTTTAGAATTAGAGAGCAGAAAATAGCGTCAACATTAAATTCAAATTCTTTATTAGTGGAGTATTAACTTACCGAACTGAAGAAATTATAAATTTCTTTTTTTTTTCTTTTCCTTTCTTTTTTGAATTTTAATGATTTTAATGTTTTTCTGTTAAAAGTGACATAAGTTGAAAACAATTGATAGACGCAAGAATTTGTAATATTTGAAAATATATTGTAATAGTTGAACGATGGAATCATATAAAAAAAGAACAACCACAAACTCTATTTATATTATATATAAATGTGAAAATAGAAGAGAAGAATAATAAGATTTTCGATAGTGTCCTTCATAAAATTTAAAATTTGCTAAATATTTGATTATATTTTTTATATTAAGAAATTTGAAAATTTTTATATTTTATTTTTAATATGTTGATTAATTTAATTATAATTTAAAATATTTATCTTCGACGAGAAATTAATTATAATTTAAAATATTTATTTCGACGAGAAATAAAAGATATGTATTTTTTATTAATTTTTTTCTTTATATTTGTATGATTTGATTGGACATATTTTTTTAAAAATAAATTTTCAAATAAAATATACACGATATTTTATTTAGGAGAGAGATAAGAAAAAATATATATTATTTTTATTAATATTTAAAAATACATTATTAAAAACAGAAAAAGATATTAAAAGTGAAATACATTAAGAATTATAATGTACATTTATTTTTTTAAAAAAAAAAAAAGAAAACGTCCATTATTAAAAAAGTTCAGCAGACATTTTTTATAGGGTTAAAAGGTTCATTCTGTTAAGGAAAATCATTTATACTCAAAAAGATAATATTCAGTTAAAGGTTTAAAGTTTACGTTCATTCACTTTCTTTCTTTTCATTTTCATATTAAAGCCAAGATAATATTCAAATAAGATCATTTTATTAAAGACGATTTTAAATCTTAAAATTATAATAAAATCAATAAGAAAACATATATAGTTTATTAAAAGATGGATTATCTTTTTTGGACGGAGGGAGTAATAAATTTTTTTTACTGCTAGGTAAAAGAAAAGAAAGCAGAATGTGATTTGAATTAATAATGGAAATCATTTTGACTACAATAACAGTATTACTTATTGAATACATGAAATAAAAGAGTATATGCATATACATAAAAATTTTTGAAACCCCAAAAAGTAACCCAAATAGGAATATATAGTTCCTTTTTTTTTTTTTTTGAATTTCCTAAACACTATTTTGTTTTAAGTCAAACAGATTTAGGATATAAAAGAAAAAAAATAAGAAGAAAATTAAAATTATCTAATATTCAATAGGCCATTTATTTATTGTAAGAGAGATATAAATATCTTACAAAACTAAAATGATAGTAATTACAAATTATTCAGTAAGGAAAAAGAAAATAAAAAATTATTTTTAAGAATAAAACTTTTTCAAAACTCTTCTCTCAGTTTTGATTTTTCTGTTCGGGTTGAGCGTTTGGTTTCAGTGGAGGTATTTGGCTTCTTTGGTCTGATAGGGGTTTTACAATTGTTGTCATTCATACTCATGCTCAATTCATGGTTTGTAGAGTTGCATCTGGGGCTAGTACGTTGTGGAATATAGTTTTTGCTTATGGCAGTCCCTTTATGGCTCTTCAAAAATTTCTTTAGCGGGATTTAATCTTGAGTCAGATTGATAATTTTGAGGAATGCCTTCTTCTTGGTGATTTCAATGCAATTACTTCCAGTGAAGAGCAATATGGGTATGCGTCTAACTTGCAGGCTAGCTATCGTGACTTCTATGACTAGATTTTTGGGTAGGCTTTACTCGATTTGGGCTTTTCTGGTGTTCTGTTCACATGGACACGTGGTAACTCTGTTTCTATTTCTAAGAGTGCTTGTCTTGATAGAGCACTGTGCTCGATTCTATGGTGGACTAGATTCCCTAATGCTACAGTTATTCATCCTCCACAACTTCATCGGGATCATATCCCTTTGGTCCTATTCTTGACATGGAATCAACCTTCTTGTCCTTCTCCTTCTCGATTCCAGGCGACTTGGACCACCCATAGCTCTTCTCCAGACTTTGTGCGGCAGAATGGGATAAATCTTTGTTGGATTAAGGGTCAAATTCTAATATAGGAATTTTGATGATTAAAAAAAACAAATAAATTGAATCTATATTATTTGTGCTAATAATATTTTTATGCAGAACACATATGGAAAGTAATAAATGAATAAGGCAAGTCCTACAAATCCGAAGTGTATGAAGACATTCGAAGACCCTAGTGGTTAGATTTTAGGATTCATTGTAGGATGATAGAGAGAAAATTCAATTATAAGCACAAAAACAAATTCTTCTCTCATCAAAATTATTTTTCGAAAAATAGATTCTTCAAAATAAATCTTTTCGACAAAAAGTTGTTTTCGAAATACCTTTAAAAGAAATCGAAATGATTCAATTACCTAAAAGTAAAGAGATTATGTCTTTAACAATTTTTGGTAATAAATCGTATGCTTTCTTTTTCTGAAATTCTCTTCGAAGATCTAAGAATTTTAATTTATTCTCTTACCTAAAACAAAGAAAGATCTTATTTTTCGTTTTAGTAAGTAGAATCTTTTCGAAAAATATTTCTCAAATAAACATAGAATCTTTTCGAACATTTTTTTTTTCAAATAATTGCTTTCGAAAGTTTTTATGTTTAAAGGAAAGAAAGATCGTCCCCTATTTTCTTTCCAAAAGGATAAAACGATTTTTTGGTAACTAAGATTTCCGTATCTTCTAAATAAGGAAAGCAAATATTCTGATTTGAAAAAGAAATATCCACTTTTAAAAAATGAGAGTCACAGACCACTCTATAAAAAGACGTTTTCAGTCTTTGAAAAGCGTGGAAGAAAGACTTTTCGTTTTAAGAGTATTCATTTATTAATCATATCTTTTACCTCTCAAAACTTACTCTCTACCTCCTTATTTCTTTTCATCTTGATACATTTTGTTTTATCTTTAAAAGAGAAAGAAATTTTATAACAACTTCTTTTGAAAAAGAGTTCTGTTTTCTAAACGATTTTCTAATCTGAAAAACTGTTTTTCCTGTTTGTTCTAATCGTGAAAGCATGTTTTTTATCCTCGAATATTTGCAAAGTTTCTTTATCATCTAATTTAAGGATTCTGTAATCTTTAGTAGATCAGGTTTTTTTATTTGGATTAAACATTTATGTAGATCGCTTAGGTGAGAAGCTATTGTGAAAGAGGTTATCAAGCGACTGTTTCCCGTGAGAGAAGATTACTAAATGTCTTTGAATTGAGTTTCTGTAATCTGCCAAAAAACAGAAAAAGGGTTTGAGGTTAACTAGAACTTTGGGGCAAAATCTAGTGGGATAAAAGTAAAGATCTAGTGCTGATACTAGTGTGCGCTTGTAATTGGTTGGGTTTTTGTCTCTACCGCTTGAAAAGAAGATAACATAGTTGAGGATCTCAGAGATGAAGTCTTGGGGAGCTTGGATGTAGGCGAGTTAGTGTCGAGCACCACAGATGAGTCTTGGGGAGTGGATGTAGGCGAGTTAGTGTCGAACCACTATAAATCACTGTGTTGATCTTTTTAATTTCTAAAGTTTTGCTTGATGCTATTTTACTCACACTTCTGTTTATATTCTAAAAATGCTAAAGTTGTTAATGGTTTTGATGTTCTAAAACTGAAATAAGTCTTATCTTCTCTGAACATTAGAACTCTAGAATTCTAATCAGTAAATATATCAAGTTCTAAACGGTTCTTCTATTTTCAGTATATTTCGCTATTTGGGTTTCTAATTAGTTTTCTAAACTTGATTGAAGCTTTGTGATGCAGTTCAGATTTCAATAACTGTCTCTCATTTAGTCTTTTATGATTTTCTAAACTTTATGAGGAAGTTCTAATTACAATAGCTTTCCGTCATAAACCAGTTCTAATATTGAATAAGACATTGTGAAACAGTTCTAACTAATAGCTGCACTTCGCATAATTTTTTTTTAACATTGTGAGGAAGTTCTAATCCATAATTTATTCTCACAAGTTCTTTATTTTTCCGCTGCACTTAGAATTATGTATTTTGTTCTTAAAGCTAAAATTTTTATTTTTAGAAAACCCAATTCACCTCCCTCTTAGGTTGTGCCATACATATACGGGACCCACAATCTGGTATTAGAGCCTTGGCTCTTGATTTACCGAAGCTTAACCGCTTAAGAGATAAGCCTTAACCGCTTAAGAGAATACGAGATCCCATGGCAACCTCAGCTTGCTCTTAGACTCTGCGTTAAGAAGGTCAATGTCTTGTTTCTCAGACACTCCTTTGTTCAAATGGTTGTCTAATGTACTCTTGTATTAGGAAAAATAGAAAATGGAAAAATTATATGAAATCAATTAGATATACACTATGGAGTGAATGGGTTTATACTGGTTTGTATACTCGTATTGTAGTGACCCATGAAAGAATTGTAGAAAATGAGAGAGTATAGAAAAATAGAAGAAAGATATATACAAATACTTAATTTAGGAATGAAATTGCTAGTTATAAAAATGAAAAGCTATTAATATTCTTCATTGTGCTTTAGACGCAATAGAATACAAAACAAAGTGTCCCTGATGTAAATCTGCCTGACAGTGGAAGGTTTGCGGAAAAAACTTAGAGTTACCTAATGACGGTACATGCGATGATGGAAGTTAAGAGGAATGCAGAATAAATCACGTGCCTTTGGAGAGATAGTGAAATGTTTTAGTATGGAAAGAGGAGAAAACTATTGCAAGAGAGTTTAAATCTAGCATTCACTAAATAAGGTTATCCCTTGTGAGAACTCTCGTAAGGTGTAAACGTTTCAGACCGATGAGCTTGTTAGCAAAAATCCATTAGAATTCTCAGAGCCATAAAAAATAATGGGGATTCTATAGGAACTGTCGATCGAATACGAGAGACTCCCATCAACTTTATGATAATTTAATAGGAGCTCTTTGTTTTTCGGAAGAAATGAAAATCTTCTTTGACTGTAGCAAAAGAATAAAAAAAAAA